GGTAAGTCTTTTTAAAAATTAGATTGTTTTATTATAAATAAAATCATGGCATAGCTAAATTAAGGCTAGTGCTCAAACAATCCCTTTGGGATTGGCCTTTATTCTGTCCAGGCCCATCAATCAATTGGACAAGGCCCACTGACACTATGAAGGGCAATCTTTTTCTTCAAAGGCCACAAATTTAAATGTAAATCTCATCCCCAAAGGACTCTCATAGAAAACCTAGAGTAGTGTTTGAGCAAGTATTTGGGTACCATGGCCTAACCATTTAAAGCAAACTCTCACACTGGGTCACAAACAGCTATCTTCAGCAAGAACCGACTGTGGTCAAAGAGTGTCCCTACTGTGTCTCACTGTCATTTACTCTGGATTCTGCTGTTTCTATGTCTTTCGTTATTAATCTTCTTTACTGAGCTAGTTAGTTCTTATCAACTTGACACAAACTAGAGTCCCTTGGGAAGAGACTGTTGAAGAGTCCATTGAGGGATTGCCTCTATTAGGTTAGCCTTGTGGGCATGTCTATGGAGCCTTTTCTTGACTAATGATTAATGAGACAGAGTCTAGCCCACTCTGGGAAGTGCCATTCCCTAGTCAGGTGGTCCTGGATTGTATAAGAAAACAAGCTTAGCAAACCAAGGAGAGCAAGCCTGTAGGCAGCCTTTTGTTGAGATCTCTGTTTCAGTTTCTGCCTCCAGGTTTCTGCCTTCAGTTCCTGCATTGACACCCTTTGAGCTGTAAGCCAAATTAAACCTTTCCTTCCTGAGTCCTTTTGGTCAGATTGTTTCATCACAGCATCAGAAAAGCAAACCAGAACGTTTCCCTACCTTTCAGGTACATTTTCTTTCTGATCTTATCCTCAGCTCTATCTCCTGGCTTCCTACAAAAGACCTCCACTATGCAGAAAGTGAGGTTAGTCATTTCCATTTTAGTGTACATTTAAAGCATTTAATGGTTTTCTTACCTGTCTTCTCACTGTAAAAGAAAAATGTATTAAGAGAATTTCAGAGATCAATGGAGAGCTAAGGGAAGTAAGACTTTGATTTTGTGAGTGTGTGTGCATTAAAGTATCTTTGATTTGGCTGTCTAATTGTCAATTTGGGGGCTTACTGCATCTGCTAATCTAGCCTAGTCCTGGAAGCTTCTAGCCTTCCTACAATCTAGAATGTTTTCAGCCTCTGAGACTTACTGCTGAAAATAAGCTTACCCTCCCTGAGCTCTGGCTTGCTGGTTTAACTCAGCTGTTCTGACTCAAACTGCTCTCTAGACTGATCAAACTGGCTTCTTTCAGCTTCTGACTGAATATCTCAACTTGGCCTCATACCAACTTTGGCAATATGTTCTAATTTTCAGGCTCCTCATTCTCTGGAGTGTTCACTCTTCAACATCTCTCTATAAAACTGCCTCCTCTTTGCTCATTCTCTGTGATGTTCCCTTAAATAGCTTCTCTTTCCCCTCCTCCTGAGAGTTGGGTGTATCTTATTCTGTCAAATCTTTGTAATTTTGTCACTTTGTCTGCCACTCAATTAGTCATCACTTTCAAACATGGGTGTTTCCTTCTACAAACTAACTTTACTTTCATTGTTTTGGATTAAAGGTGTATACCACCTCACCTGGGTCTAAGATTCTTTACCTGAAACTTGCTCTATACCAGGCTGACCTTGAACTTAGAGGTCTGCTTGCCTCTGTCTCCTGGGATTAAAAGGTGTCTGTTACCACTGCTCAGTATGTCTCCATTCCAAATGGATCACACAGACCTAGAAGGTCTTTGTATGTGTCTAAATTCCTGTGTGTGTGTGTGTGTGTGTGTGTGAGAGAGAGAGAGAAGAGAGAGAGAGAGAGAAAGAGAGAGAGAGAGAGAGAGAGAGAGAACCTAAATGAAAGCAAAGGGGACAATCATAATTTGCAGAACTGAGGCAACTCCAGGGAGCTGGAGAACTATCTCCCAGCAGTAAAGAAGTGCTGGCTCTTTCTTCACGAGGACAGTCCCGGCGATTGTTTGGGAGAGCATCTGATTGACTGAACCTGGGTTCTTTGCTCCCAGCAGGGCCAGCCCAGGGAAGAGCAGGACACCCTGTGTGAACATCCTTCCAAGGCCAGGTGAAGTGAGCAAGCTGCCATTAGACAGAGTGAAACAGGGGTGGCGAAGGTATTCATTACCATCAATTACCATCGTAAGGGCTGTTGAGAAGGTAACACATTAGGTCCTCTCTGTTTCTAAGATGACCTTGAACAGGAGCCAGAGCAAGGCACAGATGGGCTGCAGAGACTCAGGGGCCATCTGGAGCAAGGTCTCTGAGTCCTTCCCCTCTTGCTTAAAGAACAAGCTGTGTTAGCCTGAAGCATCACTGCAGGGGTAGGAGCAGGATCTGTTTAGTTTTGAACCATTCCCAGGCAGGCTGGGCCTTCCGAGATGATAAACATCCATCCTTGTTGGAGACATCTTAGATGTGAGAGCCAGTGTCCTCTGGATCTGGTAATTGGGCAAAATGGCTATGATTTAATAGGCTTAAATTTGAAATAACAACAATAAAAAAGGTAAGATGCAGTCATTAAGTTTGTCAGTCTATTCATCTTAGTTTATTGTACACAACAGATGAGTGACAGGAGAACAAGAAAGCCTCCTTCCTGGTTCTTTATTTCCTCTAGGATAGTCTTCTTTTCTTCTTTGTTTCTTTTTTCCAAGTTAACATCAGAATTCAACTCTTTTCCTCCCCTTCCTCATAACTCCCGAGATCACTCCTGACTTAGCTATCACATCTGAGCTGCCCAATGCAGCACCAGGGGCTCAGAGTCGGTGGGAATTAATGAAACCCACAGAAATTCTTTCTTCTATTCCTGGTTCAACTTGAGCTCAACTCAATTTTTCAGTTCTTTTGTTGTTGTTGGGTTAGGTTTTTGTTTGTTGTTTGCTTGTGGGGGGTTTTGTTTTGTTTGAGACAGGGTCTCACTATGTAGTTCTGGCTGTCCTGGAACTCACTATGTAGACCAGACCGGCTTCAAACTCAGATAGATCCATCTGCCTCTGCCTCCTGAGTGCTGGGATGAAAGGCTGTCACCACTGTGCATGGCTTGATTTTATCAGTTCTTAATTTTAAATTGCTAAACATGCTGATCTCTAATTCTTTGCTTGATTTCTTTCATATTGGACAAATATTCCCATTTTTCCTAATTACTTATGAGTGTAGGTTCCCTGTGGTTCTTCACAGCATTTTTCACTTTACCCCCTCCCTACCTCTAAAACCTATTCAACCCAAAGGCTGGGCTTCCCTTCCCCCAGCTTCAGATTCAAATAACTCAAGTCATTTTGGTTGGGCGCTCTCTTGGTTCCTCTCTTGGCCTCTTGATTCTTCTCCCTCTCCTGGTCCCCTCTCTTCTCTTCCTTTTCCCTTCCTCTCATTCTCTCCTGTTCTCTCTCATGACCAAACCTATTCTGCTGGCCGTATTTTGTCTAGACTCTTCCAGATGCCTCTGGCTATGCTCTCCCTCATATCTACGATAAAACCCTTCTCCTTAACCACAGAGCATTTTCTCTTTTTCTTCAGTGAGAAATTAAAGCAAACCCCTAATATTCCCTATGGTCTCAGGCAAAAGTGGAAAGGAACAGAGGGATGTAGAATTTCTTCCCGCAGCCCTTCTGAGAGTCCAGTGAAGAGATGCTGTGAGGAGGTAGAGACAGGTAGAGACAGGATTCCTTGGAAACTGCTGGCCAGCCATGTCTACAAGGTAGCTCCAGGATGGGTGAGAGATCATGTCTTGAAAAATAAGTAGGTTTTCTCCACCAACAAAATAAGTCAATTCAGGCTGAATAAAAAGTAAAAATATCAGGTTTATTGAGGGAAGCTCTTGGTCCTGGTTCATAGGTCCCAAGGATTCTGGGCCAGGGAAATCATGGGAAGAGCCTCTGGGGAAGAAGCCAGGCCCTTGGGCTAGAAAGTGCCAGTCACACCTTACAACAGGTAAGGACTGGGAGTTGCTAGGAGACTCTGGAGGCCAGGTCCACTTTAACATTTTATTTAATTAAAAAAAAAAAGATTTATTATTTATACAGTGCTCTGCCTGCACGTATGCCTACACACCAGAAGAGGGCAACAATATCATTATAGAGAATTGTAAGCACTATATAGTTGCTGGGAATTGAACTCGGGACCTTTGATAAGAGCAGACAATTCTCTTAACCACTGAGCCATCTCTCCAGAACCCTCCTCACTTTAATATTTCAAATAGACACCTTAGCTGCTTATCCCTCTTGTCCCGGGTCTGTAACCCAACAGACAAGTGATTGAGGTATTTTCTGGCCTAAATACCCCATATAACCTCTCACACATAGACTGAACTAGGGCAGACTTTATTCTCGGAATACTCGAAAACTGAAACAACACTGGAAATAAAGATTACTAAAGATATAAATTGTGTTTATAGCCGGACGTGGTGGCACATGACTTTAATCCCAGCACTTGGGAGGCAGAGGCAGGCGGATCTCTGAGTATGAGGTCAACTTGGTCTACAAGTTCCAGGACAGCCAGGGCTCTGTTACACAGAGAAACCCTGTCTCGAAAAACCAAAATAAATACATAGATGGATAGAGCTCATAAATAAAAATGCTGAACCATAAATCTAACAAATATATAATTATAATTCACTTTCAAAACAAGTGTGCCTGCAGAGAAAAGCCCGGATTCGAACAGAATCCGAATTCAGAACCAGCTTCTGGCCTTTCCTTGCAGGAATAGAGAGTAACCACGCGGGATTTTCTCGGCGCATTCCCGTTTAAGAGGCCTGGAAGCAGCAAGCTAAAAGGCCATCAAAGGCCACGTGGCCAACTGCCGTGGCTTTGTAGGAACAAGGTGGCAGCCACGAGGCCAGCCAGTCTCGAGCCAAGATGGCGCTGCTCTCTCGCGCGCGCGCGCACGAGCTGCGGAAGGGCTCCGGGGCCGCGGCCGAGCGCGGGCACGGCCTCCCGGCGGCTGCGCGCCTGCGCGAGGGCGGGCTGAGGGCGGGCGCGCGCGCGGCGGGGGCGGGCTCAGGCCAGAGCGGAGCTGCAGCCTCGGAGCCGGACGTGTCCGCGAAGATGGCGGGCCGGGTGAGTGGCGGCCGGGCGGCCCCAGCTCGCCGCGGATCGCCGGGGTCGCGACGAGGTCCACGCGGGCTCCGAGGAGGGGGCGCCAGGGCGAGCACCCGGGAGCGCCGACGGGAGGGCGGTCAGAGCGCGGCTGGAGGCGAGACAGGGCAGCTGCGGCAGCGGATTAGCTCTGCTCAGAAACTCGGTCCTCCCCGAGGGTTGTCTTCTCGTTCCCCGGGGTCTCCCCGTGCCTCCCCTGCTATCCTCTGGGGCTCGTTTCCCTCGTCCTCCAAGCCCCCGGGGGGGTGGGTGACCATTCGAGCCCCCCTGACGAGTGCTGGGTGTCCTCCTCGCTCCTCCGAGGGTTCCCGAGGTGGCACTGCCGGATAACCGCGGGGTGTAGTCTGCTGCAGTCAGGGCGAGGATGTGGGGACCCATTTCCCGTTCTTCCTAAATGAATGGCATAGGGAAAAGAGGGGAGCTGCCTATGAAGCCTCTGGGGAGAAACCTGTCAACTGTCCAGTGAGAAGCTGCAGTGTCTTCAGCCCGGAGTGCAGATGCATTTGGGGGGGGGGGGGTCACGTTTTGTTTTTCTAAATGACAGCCGCTTCGAATGCAGCAGGGCGTGCTGTAGGTTCAGGGATTTAAATCTTACTTCCTCCTTAAGCCTGATGCGGCCAGGTCACTGCTGTTACTGCAGTGTGCATCACTAAGAGCTTGGATGGATGGATCCTGCCCAGACTGTTACACTGTTCGAAAACCTGGGGACGTTAACTGCGTCATTCACAGACTATCGAAGTGCTTGACTGATTCACTTACATCTGAATATTTGAATAACTTTACATACATGTATGCCTCTATGCAAATGCCCCGTCTAGAGAGACTTGTAGGTCATGAGATTCTGGAGTCCCAAAGAGATCTTAGAGGTCATCAGTCTAAGTCCATCTCTTTCTCTTCCTTTTCTCATAAGCCCCCTTTTATCTCTGGCTGCCCCTTCTGCCTGTACCTCAGGGTGTAGTTTAGCCCCTCAGTAGCCCCTCTCCTGAATCATCAGCTGTTCTGGAACACACTGGGGCCTCTCTTATCTTAAAGCCCTCTGCTCCCCACCCCCCACGTGTCACCTTTCCTCTTTTTTTACAGTGATAAATTCCTTTGATTTTTCTGTGTATTATCGTCTCTCATTTGCTTACCGACTGCTCCCTCCCAGGCCCACCACAGTCTGACTGAAGCCCGTTCCTAAAATTAATACACATGTTTCAATCCTTGTCATACTTGGTGTCTCAGCAGCCTCTGACATTGTCTACCGTTGCCTCCTTGACGGAAGACGCTCTTCCATGGCTTCTGTGATGCCTTGCTACTGTTTTCACTCACCTGGATTGCAGACTCACCTTTCTTCACCCTGTCATTCAGTTCCCACTCTCTATTTTATCTCCTTGGGTAATCCCTTCTGAGCCAAAGATACAACTGTCTGTATGCCTGAGGTTCTCAAGATTTCACCCATCCCCCACGGAACTGCCCTTTAAATTTTCAAACTGATGTGTGGAAGTGTCTATTTAAATAAAAGGACAAGGATCGCATACCTTTGATCCCTACAGAGGCAGGAGGATCTCTGACAGTTTGAGGGCAGCCTGGTCCACACAGTGAGTTCCAAGACATTCAGGACTACACAGACACTGTCTCAAGAAGATAAATAAATAGTTAAATAAATAAATTCAAGACAATTTAATCTCTTGTTTAAACCCAAAGTTATGCTCTATGCCTACCTACCTGTTACTTTTTCTGTTTTTCTTTCACTGAGTGGCACCGTCATCACCTATCCAGTGGAAACCTGGTGGGAATGGTGTGTATTGGGGGGGGGGGGGCCATGAGTAGCCATATGTGGCAGTCAAAGGACACCGTTGGGTTACTGTTTGCCATCCACTCTGTTTGAGACAGGGCTTCTTTTGTTGTTCACATTGACCTATACCAGGCTAGCTGCTGGGGAGTCTCTCCACCCAGAATTACAGACCTGAGCCATTCTGTCTGCTTTACAGTGGGTCTGGAGGTGTGAACTCAGGTCCTCACACCTGCAGGACATATGCCTTATCCAACAAGCCTTCCCCCATCCCTATTCTCTGTACATCTTGCCACATTCATCACTGTCTTCCTGTCCACACACACACACACAAAACAACAACAACAAAAAAATGGTTTTCAAAAAGGATTTAATTATAGCCAGAAAAGGTATGCTCTGGAGCGTTGTTACTTGAAGGCGTCCTTGTTACGAAAATCACCGGTTGCCCTTGTTGCATCCTTCTCTCCCGTCAGTTCACCATTCTGCATCCTGATCTCCACCCCGTTTTTCTCTCTTTGGTCTGGAAAACTGCACCAAGTTTTCAAGTAGTCTCCTTCTGGCATTCTGCCCCACTTCCATTCTCTCCACACGGGTGTTCTTCCTCTGCCCCTTTACTGCTCAAACCCCTCCTCAGCAACATCCCATTAGTTCTGGGAGAAGATCAGCTGCTTAACAAGGCTCTTTGTGGTTTTGCTCCTGTTTCCCTCCACTCACTTTCACTGTCTGCGCTCAGGTTATGTAAGCCTTTCAACTCCTTGAAGCTACAGTAGTTTCTCTTACCACCAGGTCTTTGTTGGGCTCTTCCTTTTCTTTGTAATGTTCTGCCCCCATCCATTTACCTCCTACTCAGAGAACACTTGGGAAGCCTGTTCTGATCTCCTGCTGTAAGTCGGGATACTTTGTTACCTAGCCTTGAAAACGTGTGTTCCTCTCTTAGAGATTTATCTCTTTCTCATTGTAACTGTTAGTGTGCTGTACCCTGTAGGCTGACCTATGTCTGTAATGCCAGTGCTTGGGAGACAGAGGCAGGAGAATCACTGTATGTTTGAGGCCAGCCTGGTGTACACACTGGGTTATAGACTAGCCTGAGCTATAGAATAAGACCCTAACTTGAAAATAAAGTATTAATGTTATTATTTGTCTCCACTTTATAAAAGAGACCGTACCAAATATTTACTCCTTGTTATTTCTGTTTTAGCCACTTGATTTTGTGCATCAACTTAGTAGAGATTTAAAAAGAATTGTCAAGTGCAATACATTTTTTAGAAAATAAAGCTTAATTCCATAAAGCACGAGTACACACGAATTTGTTCTTTTTTCAAGCACTTAAGGTGCAAAGGTGAAAGTATGTTATTGTTTTTACATCTGTTTGTTTACTGGTGAGAGGGCACGTCTGTGCCATGGCACATGTGTGTGGAGCTCAAAGGACAGTTTATGAGACAGTTCTCTTCTTCCTCCGTGTGTGCCCAGGGCTTGAATCCAGGCTGTCAGGCCTGGTGACAAGAGCCTTTCCTTGGGGAATATCTTACCTGTGCAAAGGTATGTTATTTTACTGTAGAAGAATGTCTCAGTGACAGGAGAGTGGCCCTCAGAAAGATCTGCATTTGCAATACACCAAACACTTGCTGTAATGCTGGTTGTTTTTTCTCTGTTTGCTTTTGAGACAGGGTCTTCCTGTGTAGCCCAGGCTGGCCTGGAATTCATTTTTAGGATGGCCTGACCTGTTCCCAGAGATCTGCCTGCCTCTGCCTCTAAATGCTGGGACTAGAAGTCTGTGCTACTCCATCCAGCCCTATAGTGCAGCTTTGAAACACCCAAACTCTCGGTTGCTGACATTAAACTTAATATAAAAAGTGCAAAATGATCTCATCAACATAACTTCTGTTTTTGTCCTGATTACCAGCAAAGCTGAACATTTTTCTTTTTGGTCAACGGAGAGTTCCTCCATGCGTTATCGCTGTACAGTGTTTGACTTGCTTCAGATCTGTTAGCTGCAGGTGGTGTCTAGGTGATATTCTTTTTATGTTGTTCACAAATTTAAAAGTTTATTGTTGTGTTTGCTAATTTCTGGGTCTGTATGGTCTATCCTTTTGTTTGATCTTCAAGAAAGCTTTCCTCACTTTGAAGTCATAAAGATCTTATTTTAAAGTTTGATTTGCTTTGCCTGTTTTTGTGATTAATTCATCTGGAACTTATTTTTGTGTTTGGTGTGAGTTATGAAGTTAATTTTATCCTTCCATATGTGAGAACAGTTGTCTCAGTGTTTATTGAGTCCATCCCTTATCCGAACTGACATGTAATGTTCTCTCTGTATCACAAACCCATTGATTGCCTCGTGGCGGGGGAGGGCCCTGAGTCCGAACTTTACTGTTTCATCACTACGCTTGGCTGTTTCATGGAGTGCATGTCTTCCTCATTTGAAAAAAAAATTTAAATGACATTTATTTACTTGTTTGTTTCTGTGTGTATATGTGTGGTTGGACATGTGCCAAGTCATATATGTATGGAGGTCCAAGGACAACTTGAAGGGGTCTGGGTCTGCCTTTTCCCATGGGACCATCTTTTCTGGCCAGCCCTTTCTTTCTTTCTTTTTTTTTTTTTTACATTTTACATTTTCAGCCCTTTCTATGTGAATTTTAGGAGTAACTCACCCCTGCTTCTTCCAAAGTTAGTTATACTCAGTGTCTATTGCTGTTGATTTTGACCTGTATTTACTTCCTGTGTTTTACAGAGATAGACATGAGGACTTTAATAAAATTCAGCCAAATTACTTTTTTTCCTTTTTAAAATATTTTAAATTTTTTTCTCTACGTAAATATTTTGCCTGCATGTATGTCTGTATAATATGTGCATGCCTGGTGTCCACAAAGGCCAGAGGATCCCCTAGAATTGGCGTTACAGATGGTTGTGAGCCACCATGTGGATGCTGGGAATTGAACCCTGGTCCTCTGGAAGAGCACCCAATACTTTTAACCACTGAGCCACCTCTCCAGCCCCAAATAACTTTTTAAAAGCAGTTCTATTTGTTTATTTAAAATGATTTATTTATTTTATGTATATCCTGAGGGCTTTATCTTCATATACACTTGGATGCCAGAAGAGGGCACCAGATCCCAGTATAGATGGTTGTGAGCCACCATTTGATTGCTGGAACTTGAACTCAGGACCTCTGGAAGCAGACAGTGCT